GACTCTCCCTAAAGGGAGAAACCTATGGGGCTGAGGCCAGGTGTCTGCCCAGAGCCCATGTCTCCTCTTCTAGACCATAAGAGTGGCCCAGAAGCTTTGCCCCTGGAGGCTGTGCAGGCCTCATCCCCCGAGGGCAGACCCAACCGGTAGGCACACCCCTAGGCAGGATGGGGATCCACACCTGTGCAGATGGCCCCATGTAGGAGAGGCTGGCTCACTGGCAGCAGGAAAAGATGGCTGCAAACCACCACTCACCATCTACCATGCTCCTGGACAGAAATCCAAGGAAGTAGGGATTTGACATTGGAATCTGGCCTTCTGCATTAGTCAGCTTTTCCCCTCATGAACACCATGCTTGACACAGCTTGGAAGAGGAGAGGCTGAATTTGGCTCACAGATTTATGACTCAGCAGACTTGGTCCATGGACACCAAGCTCAATGCAGGAACATCATGGGGGAGGGGCTGGGCCAGAGAAAGTAGCTTAGTTCACAACAGCTGGGAAGCAGCGTAGAATAGCACCAGAGAAAAAGGGACCAGAGACCAAGTGTAGGGGCCCAAATCACACCTTCATGAGCTACCCAACCACATCCCGAAGGACAGTTCACTAAAATTGTGGATGGCTCCCAAGCCAATCAAACTGACAGTTACGTGTAAGCATGACTGTTACGACCTCCACACCCTCACAAGGGCATATTTGTTATATTTATGGCAGGAGAGTGAACACTATGCTTCAAAACATGTCAGCTTAGTATATTAATGTTACCTGCTTATACCTGTGGTCTCTGAACCTCCATCCGTACACCTATCTCAAGCCCCATAAATGTTACACAGTTCTTGCAGGAAAGTAACTTAAAAAGCAGAAGTGAAAGAAGATAAATTAAAATTCTCTGTGGAGAAAGGGCTCTCTTACACACAAATACATTCTTGTATATGATCTTTGTGATTAATTCTGTCTTCTAATTCTTGATCATGCCAGTCAGATAGAGTGCTGAGACTTTGCGCAAGTGTGTATGTATGGTAGGAGGTGCAGGTCATCCATGAAAGATGAAGGCATTTGGGGCATGAGGAAATATAGTGCTCTGCATTGGAATTTACTTCACACTGTCTACATAACTGCTGGCTAGTCGTGGTGGTGGCCCTGAATGTGGAAACTGGCTGCAGTGAGATCTACCTCTATCAGAAGGGGCAGGTTCTGCACAACCATAGCTCAAATCAGACTCCTCAGTTTCCTCCCCTCCTTCCCCTTCCTTTAGACCTTGAGCGGGGAGAGGAAGGGGGAAGGGGAGGGGAGAGAGGGAGGAGAGGGAGAGATGGGGGAGAGAGAGGCAGGCAGACAGAGAGGCAGGGACAGAGACAGGGATAGAGACAGAGACAGAGAGAGAACCACATCCTGGGCCCCCTCCCAGCCCTTCACAATTTCCACTCTTCTGTCACCTCCCACCACTAGTTTGGGCACCTCTATTTTGGGGACCTCAGAAGATATGTAATGTCACTAAACCACAGATTCTATAGCCTTGAATATATAGGAAAAGGTACCACTAGACTCTGCCCGCAATCAATTTAGCTGCAAGGTTCTAAATCCTAGGCCCAGACCAGATCTACCTGTGCCCAGGAATGAAGGGCGGAGGGGACACCCTGGTCCCTGATGGCTGCTGAGTTGGCCTGAGCCCACCCCTCCCAGCCTCACCTTAAGTGCCACCCAGAGTCCCTGCAGAGGGACCTTGCGCAGCTCTGACTTTCTGAGTGCCAGCATCCCTCCACCAGCTCTGCAGGATCCACTATACAAACACAGGGCTCTCTGCCAAGATGTTGGAACAGTAAATCTTCACTGATTCTTTTATTCATGCCCTCACCTCTGCAGACAGTGCTGAGGAAAAATAAAGCCCACGAAATCCCTGTGGGCTCTGGCAGTCTGGCACTCTGCTTTGCTCCTCTCTGATTACCTCTGGAAGGCAGAAGCAAAGAGAAAATGCCCATCAGCTCCCATGGGGCTGGCAGGCCCCCTTCCTTCTCTTCCTCCTGAGTGGCACCCAGCCAGCATGCTGAGCCCAAGGCCAGGGCCTAGAGACCTGCAAACAGTGAATCCTGGGGCAACTTGGAAATCAACATCCATAGTTTACTGGGGTGATGTCCTCTCTACCTCACTCCCCTGAGGCTTCCTGGTGCTTCCTGCTTTCCAGGGAGCTTCTAGACCCAAGAGGACCAACTGTTTGCTTAACACATTGGGTGAGGTGGAATAGGGGTGTTCTGGCTGCTAGCTACAAAGAAGATGCAGCCAGGCCAGCTGCAGCCCTGTGGAAGAGCCTCTCCTTGAAGGCCTCAGAGCTAAGGCAGCGTCCACTGATGCTACCGCCTTTGCCAAGCAGTCCAGACTTCAGAGTCTCCCAGGACCTTTCTTCTAACAACTCCAGGTGCCAGGGAGGGCTCACCATGATGCTTAGTAAGACTGAAGGAGGTTGGGAGAAGCACTGGGGTTTTGTAGAACTCCTTTCATACAGAAGAAAGGCAACAGGCTTAGCATGACCTCTCACCTGAGCCCAGGAAGGAAGGGTTCCCAGGATTTGCATCTTTTGGTCCTAAAATCAGGATGGCCCTGGGAAAATTGGAACCGTGTGTCACTCTGTAAAGTGTTCACTCCCAGTGAGCCTGGCACGTGACTAGGCCTGGAGACGGACCTGGGCCCCAGCTATCTGCTAGTGGCTTTTCGAGTTCAAAGCTTCTTCCCCATCCTAACCCATGCATGGAGGAAGTTGGCCAGTAGAGGTGGTCCCCATGGCCCATCTGAGAGCTACTGGGAGAAATGGAAGAGGATGGTTTTGGTGGGCTTTGTGAGAGGGAAGCAATTCCTTAGAGAACCAAGGCCCGAAAAGCCCCACACGGCAAGTGAGCTGGGGAGCACCTGAGTAAACTGCCAGGCAGGTCAAGTGCTGGGAGCCTTTGTGTAGCTTCAAAAGCTGGGCTGAAAAAGATGGGGGAAATGTCCTAAACATCTTTGCCTGGTGCCTATTCTTCCCAGGAACATGGAGGGCAAATATGCCAGGAGAGTGGCCTTGGGATGCCGAGAAACCACAAACAAGTCATTTAGATCTGTCTGGCAACAGGCTCGCCTCAAAGCCCTGCCTTGCTGGAAGTTCTGTTATGTTTTGGCACAAACAGGTTAGTGCTGAGACTTTTCTCCATCCAGGTTCGTTCCCAGCTTATTCCACTTGAACACCCACTTCAGGTGAGGATCTTCCACACATTTCCTGTCGTGGAGAAATCCTGCCTATTTCTGCCCTTGCCAGCTGTAGAGTAAGATCAGCCTCAGTCCTCAGGAGTGAGAAATCACCCCTCCTGACTTCCCTAGCAGTCTTCTTGGAGGTGGCAGGATTTAAGACAAATCAAGTCCATTTAGTAGGAACCAGAGACCTGAGAATTTGTGTTTATAGGAAAATAGCAAGAGACTGGACTTGGAATAGGAAATGAGGACAAGAAAGTGAAAGTGAGCTCACCTTTGAGGAGCTAGGAAGCTACAGGAGGGACTTAAGTACACAGCTGGGAGAGGGGATAAAAGAAAAACAAACAAGAAAATAACAGATGGGCCCTGGGAAGACACCTCTGATGGCTATCTCGTCCACTGGTAGCACTCAATAGCAGTTCTAATTTTGTCCTATTGTGGGTGGGCCCTGCATCTGAAAGAAGAAAACACACGAAAGATCCTGAGAATTATCCCCAGGCAATGGCAAAGCTGTCCCCTTGCTCTGGCAATGCTCGTAGGAAAAGCAGTGTCTGTAGATGTCACCAGGAGAAACAGCCTCCCCCATGACAACCGTGAGACCCCACAAGCACAGAGGAGTAGAAAGAAAGGGCCCTGCCTGGAGCCGGTGGTCCAGAACCACCTTTTGGGGAAGTCTCAGAAGGCTCCAAAGATCTTCCCAGGCAGGCAGGGCACTGAATCCTTGAGGAGGAGGGTACAGGTTTCTCACACACAAGAATGTCCTGATTTATGCACAATAGGCCCTTGGAGATCCCTTAGCAATTACCCTGTTCAGCTTCATGCCTGGCTGGCCACTAATAATTTATTGTAAATCACTTCAATAAGACAGTCAACCTCTCTACTCCAGTAAGACCATCAAAGGGGACAACCCGCCTTGGGCCCTCCCTCCTGTCCCTCTTTCAGAAAAGAGCTTTCTTTCCCTCAATAAATATATTTTGCTCATTTAAAAAAAAAAAAAAAAGACTGTCAAGGGATGGCCTGACCTGATAGCTCAGCAGACTAAGCACCTACTTAGGCAGAACACAGGGACCAGGGTTCGATCCCTGGCACCACATGCTGTCTTGGCCCCACCCTGGGGCACAAGGAGACTGCGCATGGTGGTGCACACCTGTAATCCCAGAGCTTGGGAGGCTGAAAACAGGAGAATCACTATGAGTCCAATCTGTGTAGTGAGACCCTGTAGACCCTGTACAAAATACATTAAAAAATAAACAAGACAGCTTCTCTACTCCTAAATTCCCCATAGATCTCAGCACAGCCGGGCATCTGCCCGGTCCTCATTAATACCTCTCTGGGCCTGACTCTTCCCGCCTACTTGGCCACCACCTCCACTCCTGCACTCCAGCAGCTGGCCTAGGGGATGCAGCCAGCCCAGGCCACTCCCTGCACTTGGCTACCTGGGAGCTGGCCTGACAGATGCTATTATAGGACAGAGCGCTTCAGAGCCACAGGTCTGATTGACGAAAGCCCCCAGGAGCCTCTGTAGGTACGGAAGCAAATGCTGTTAGCAGGCTCTAATTAGGCCAGTCAACTGGGTTGTCTTGTGCAAGGTAGCCATTTGTGAGGTTAAGTCCAACCTTGACTCTGAGCAAGGAGAGGTTTCTGAAAGTGCTCCCTGAGAAGCGTCTCTGCAGGAGCCTACACAAGGGAGGCAAGGCAACGCATATTGTTTTTCCTAAGTTGAAGATTTGGTTTCGTAACTTTTTGAAACAGAGAAAACAACACATTCTGGGGGGAGATGGGTTAGAGAGCTGACCCCGGTAGCTGCTCTAGAGCCAAGTCTTCCAGCTTGCCAGGACACAAGTCCCACTCGCCCTCAGTCAGCCTGTGGTCCCCACCTGCGGCCAAAAGCAGTTGCCACATCTCACTGAGCTCAAGGTGACAATTTCCTCTTCCTTGGAGTCCTAAGGGCTGCTGTTCTCTTTCCTGCTGAGCTCCCAGAATTGGTTCCCCCCTCCCTTGGGCTCAGTATCTGCTGGATATTCCCACTTCCTGGCTCTGTGGGAGCCAGGAGAATGGGAAACGAGGACAGGAAAGTGAAAGTGAGCTCTTCCCTAGGGCCATCAAGGTAGCACGCTTGTAAAGACTTCTCTCCAAATGAGCAGCTTACTGCCTCCATCAAAATGCCTGTGCGCCTCGTTGCTCACTGCCTCCTTGTCTGTCCGCATGAATTTCCGCTTCTCTTCTTTCTCCTTTCCCTGGTACTCACTTGAATGACAAATTCGAGACAGTCGGGCACTTGGGGCAGGACTCTGCGACCTTACTCTCGATCCCTCGGCGCTCCTCCACTCAGGAATACACTTGAGACAGTAGATGTGGTTACAGTTGGAGGGCATGCAAAGTGGCGCTCGCTGGGTTGGCTTTCTCCTGCATCACCTCGGTGCAGATGCAACATACCTGGTCCTTATTTCGCTGCACGCCAAAGGCCAGCTCCATGTCCTGCTTGTAGGCCTCTGTACAAGGTTCCACGTGCTGGGATTTCTGGGCTGTCTCCATCGGATGGAGGTGCACATTCCATGCAGAGGCACAGTTCCAGGGAGGCCTCAGGCACAGCTGCTTCCTGGTCTCCTCCGAGGGCGGCTCCTTCTTAGACTCTTGGTCTCTGAGCCTTGGTCTCAGAGCCTTGCAGTTTGGTGTGTAGCAGCTGTGCCTTCCTGTTTCTGTGTTTGCTGGGCCTGCATCAGCAGCCATCTCCACGTGCCCCTGCTGGAAATACTTGCACGCTGCACCACAGGGACAGGTCATGAGAGTGGCCCACTACCTCCCTCCTTACAAACTCCACACCTGAAACCTCTGCCTTTCGCTTCTTTCCAGGTTGTTCTGGAGTGACTTGCTTTTTCCTCTTCAATGCCTTGTCCACTTCACTGTCAGAATCGCTGTCTGGAGAGCTTGAAAGAAGAAAGCCCTTTGAGTTAGGCACTGACCTGGCCCACAGGCCACAGCCTCCTGCCCCTGCATGTCTCCCACACTCATTCTTAAACAGAGGAGGGGAGCCGGGCATGGTGGCACATGCCTGCAATGCCAACACCGGGAAAGCTGGTGCAGGAGGATCGCAAGCTTGAGCCCAATCCAGACAACTTAGTAATTTAATCAGAGCAACACAGTATTGTAAGCAGGCCGGAGGAACCAACTAGTAACTTTCAGTGCTACTCTTCTGTGCAGTATTGGATCATCTCACTCATCCACGTGTGAAATAGTTACATGGGCTTGGAGCAAAAAGACCCAGAGCTCACAGCATAGCTCTGGTAATTCACAGCTGAGTGGTATTAGATGAGGCAACTTCTCTCTCCAAACTTTTTTTTTTAATGTATTTGGTACAGGGTCTACAGGGTCTCACTATGTAGATCAGACTCATAGTGATTCTCCTGTTTTCAGCCTCCCAAGCACTGGGATTACAGGGGTGCACTACCACACCCAATCTCAATTGTCTCTCAGTGCACCCCAGGGGTAGGGCTCAGCCGCTGTGCTCTGCCTAAGCAGGTGCTTTAGTCTGCTGAGCTATTTGGCTGTCCCTGCCCAGACTATCTTTCTTGCCTATAAAGTGGGGCCCAATAATAATGACAGTAATACCTTCATCCCAGAGATATTGGGAGAACTGTACCTGATGTTTTATCACCTCTACAATACTCTTCAAATTGAAAGAAGGGCCAGCCAGATAGCTCAGCAGACTAAAGTGCCTGCTTACACAGGCACAGGGACCAGGGTTTCGGTCCCCAGCTTGCAATGCCGGTCCCACCCCCAGGGCACACTGAAACAGTGACTGAGACTGGGCATGGTGGTAAACCCTGTAATCCTAGCACTTAGGAGGCTGAAAACAGGAGGATCACTACAAGTCCAATCTGTGTAGTGAGATCCTGTAGACACTGCACTAAACACATAATAAATAAATACAAATTAAAAGGTCATGATGGCAGTGACAGCACTGTCCTTTAAATAAGTGCTTATTACAGATATCAGAAACAAAAAAAGATCAGAGCTGACAGATGTGTCGCTAAGTCTTCCTTGCCCAGCAGGATCTGCTACCCTGTCACTACGTCCTGGTGAGGACCTGAAGGAGGCCGGCAGCGAGCGCTGGTCTCAGGCTTAAAGTGGAGGCATTTCCCACCCACCAGAACCTCTCCCGCGCTGCTGTTATAATTTGACAGCGGACTCCCAGAAAGCTCTCCCCTCGGTAACAAAACCAGCAATGCGCAAAAAAAAAAAAAAAAAAAAAAAAAAAAAAAAAAAAAAAAAAAAAAAAAAAAAGTCGCCGAACGTGAGTGTACTTCGTGTAAGGGGAGCAGGCCCTCCAGGAATGAAGAGCCATTTGTACAACTCCTCAAAACGAAAAATGCTGATAAACTCACAAAGTTTTGTTATCGCTAAACACCACCTGCATTTCCTTGGGTAAGCGCCATAAAAATTCATTGCAGCGCTCAGAAACATGATGCCCGTTGCGTTCTAATTGCTGAAGAGGAAAGAGGAGAGGAACGGCTTCACTAAGGACCTGCTCAGCGGGCAGAAACTCAGAGAGTGATCGCCCCAAACCAGCAGGAGATAAGCAGCGGGCCTTTGGGGAAGCCAGTCCTCCCGAAGAGAGTTCCGGCGCTCACTGCAAACCTCAGAGTCCCCGGATGGCGAGGGTTTGTCACTGAAGACTATGATATGTAGATTGAACACATGTAAAGAACTAGAC